GAATGAACTCGGGTTAAACAAACAATGGAATTGGAGAAAGAGGGAGTGCAGCGGTGGGCGAGCGGTGAGGGGAGGGGGGAAATCAAGAAGGATCCGATCCAGATTTGCCTTTCGATGTGGCCACCGGCAACAGAACCGGGCTTTGGTCTGACCCGGACGGTTCAATCGGGTTACCGCCTTGATTTGGTAGCACCTCATTTGTGCGGGCCAACTCGAACAAATTGTGCCGTAGCTGGGTGGGATAGGGAAAAACGGAATCGGTCGTATGTAAATTCGTGGTCCTTTGACAACTCGGAGATAACAAAGTGGCCATCCCAGTTAGAGGAATCAAAGATGCGGGTTGGGTCCCGTAAGTGGACAGGAATAGGGGTTGTGATTCGGCCACGGGGACTAGACCGCTCGTGTTGCGTGGACCGACGGAATCTGACGCGTTGGCTAGGTAGTAAAGACCACTGGAATCCAAACTGCTCCCAGTGAACGTCTCACTCGGATGGTTCAATCCCAATCCGGATTTGGCTAGCATGGGCACATGACCGTTGGCCATGCTGTTCAATCCGGCCGGATTGGATGTGACCAGCCCGGGGCCCGTACTGGTCCATAAACTGAAGTGCTGATGTGAACCGTTCTGATGCGGGACGCAGTAGGTCTCACCGGTTGTTCCTTTGGATTTGATCGCCTCCGTGGTATCCGAATTCAAGGTGGAACATTGTCGAACACTGCCATTCCCACTGAACAACGAGGCACTCGCGTATTCGGGCATTGATGTGTCTGAAACAGCACGAAAAACAGACATCGATGAGGATAAATGCTAATGAGAAATAGGCTATGCGGAGGGGAGGAGCAGTGAAGGTGTACAAACAGTGCATCACTCAGCAGATCACTGACAACTGTAATTCGATTGGAAATATCTGCGTTTGTAAATTATGAAACTATTTCGTTGGTGTATAAATTACATGACATTGATGAGCGGTTCTTTGCAGTGGATGTGGCATGTGCATGACTTTAACG